GGGGGGGGGGGGGGGTTGTTGTTCGCCAAATGCACGAACAACAACCCCCCCACCCCTCCCTATCGAAGCGGTCTCTGGAATCGTACATAATATATGATGAAAACCCACCGTTCCAGCTGGCAGGCTCATGACAAACGTGCAACACACTCCCATGACATGGAGGTATGGACATACTGTGTCTTTTGACGACGCAGCACATTTCGCGAAACGATATGGTAGAATTTAACAATGAATTTAACAACGTGGCGGATTGTTGAATTCTTGTGTTTAACCATGTTTAACCCAAAACAATTAGACTCCTTTTACGGAATCAGTACAGCACAGTGTTTTTATAGCTTAACTCAGCCTGCCATATTATCATGTGTTTTGTCACAATGAACTTACTTCCCCGGGCAATTTTGCTTGACGTTTTCTTGACTTCAAACGCTCTCAGGGAAGCGGGGCGGCTTTGGAATCGTGTAACCAGTTTTAGATGTGTTCAAGCACGGTTAACTTGGCTTTGAAGACATGGAGTTGCATCGCGCTCCATTTCGTAATCCTCATGCATGACTTTCAAACTGCAGTGATGGTCCGAGATGTGCACGTGCAGAAAACTAAACACCAATCGATGGTGCAGCGAACCATCCATGAGGAACTTCGAGATCCATGCTTACTGCATCTCGCAGCTCACATTCTGTTTCGATGTGTGGCAGGGCAGCGAACTCGTTCTGCCCACCGATGCCGGAAGTTGGACTCTTGAGAGCAGGGCATGTGTGGCAATTCCGCCCGAATGTCCAACTGAAAACGCTCCGAGGCCGCGCAGCTGACTGCGAGAAATGGCGTGAACAGCTAGCGCCTTCAGCCCGTGGGAGTGCAGCTCCGGTATCATATAAACATTAACCATATCCCGATCGGTACACGAGCCTTTGTGCCTTGTAACACAGCGCATTATACGATGTGTTCAGCTTCGGTTTGCCTTTGATGCAAGTACTGAGGCGTGACCCTGCCGGTTAAGCTTTCATCAGACAATTCCGGCGTTGGTCTTGGTACTTGGCAGTCTGTTGCTGAAGACCGCAGCTCTCATGCCGAGGTTCCACTCATGCTGGTGCCAGTTTATCGACTGAGGCTTGATAGCCGAGTTTCCAACGATGTTTTGACGTAGCCTGACCTCTTCTAATCCTTGCCAGACACATCTCATATTGGCTGTGAAGCAGTGTGATTGCCTGGGAGGCAACAGGGCGGACATGCGAGGCCCCACTGCGCCACTGTTCAGCACCAAGTACTTTTCTCGGCACGCAGGAACACTCTGCAGCATCTGGCTGTACGCAGCACCTTGCCTAAAGCAGCTTTGGGGGCACTGTGTTAGACTTCTCTTTCGCAGTACAAATGAGGCTTGCCACTGCAAGCGATGGCAGTGTGGCTGCAAGTGCTGGTGATGCGACGGCATAGCTCCTACCACCGAGATCTCATGTGGCTTCTCTAGAAGTGATGTTGAGTTGCGGTTTGGCCGTGGCCCACACCTGTGCATTCCCTGTTTTGCTTTCGGAATTTCTATCTGTGGCACTGTGCTTTCGAAGCTAACATGTTTGTTGCTTCGTCTAGCTGTGTCTCTGGCGGTGTGTTTCTCTGTGTCTCGGCCTCTCTTTCTAGTTCGTTTCTCTGCGAAATGCAATCTCCAACTTGAAGTGCCTGGCATTTTCGCACTGTTGTGAAAAACAAGCAGTGTCTTGTGCCCTTGAAGATGGAGGCGCTCCATCACAGTTTGGGGATCTACAATCTACACAGATGGAATGAAGAGCATTGGGTATTAACGTCACGAAGTGCATCACGGAAAGCGTTCCTGTGGCGCAGGGCAGATCGCGTCCTCTTATTCACAGAGGAACCGCTCGAAACCGTCTTTCGGAGATCAAATTTCATTGTAAATCAAGCTACATCTGCGATCAGCACGAGGAAAACCAGCACGACCACACTCATATGCTTTGGCGCTGAGCCCGCCCCCTCCAGCTCCGTGTTCGGTGTCACAGTCCGGGGGACACTTTCTTGCACCGGCAGCAGCAGCCTGCGACAAGCAAACTCTCCTTGTTTTTCCGCACAGCTGTCCCATTGGGGCTGTCGGTTCGATGGCTGATTAAGAGAGTAAGACGTCGTTTGCAAATACCGCATGAAGATGTTCCATCATGGAGTGTTATGGGCAAAGACCTTTAGGAAATGCATCGCGCATGCAGAGAAGGGTGATATGGCTTTTTTCTTGCCCCTGAACAAGGTTGGGGCATTACGTTCCGAGATCGAAGGCGTGGGGCTTCTCTTGCACTTCGGATGTATTTTTGCGATCTGATTGGAGGTCTGCGAGCCGAGTTAGATGTTTTGCGGGCACTTCTTGATGAAGGCCTGGGGCTGGGCAGAGAAAGCTACGGTCTGTGCTGGGCCTTTGGGCGTGGCCCAGAATGTGCACCTGTGTGCCAGCCGACAGTCCGGAACATCAGCCTGCTTTCACTCACGGTACAGTAGCTCGTGGATTTCCAGACTCTAGATGTTGTCATACCTGTTTCTGGATGATTTGGGTGGTTAAAAAGCAAAACGAGATACTTAGATATACATTCGAGACTCACGCAGTCGACCAATCTACGGGCATCATGCTGGCACGCTTGCACATTCGACATGTTGCCAATCCATGGCCCGCATTGTGCGACGCGGCCTGCGGCTGCCTGGCCTGCCACTTTTCAGCTTGGGGCAGCCATGGCATTCCGTCATGCCCTGTGCTTAACCGACTGTGGCGCAGCCCACACTAGTTTGAAGCAGCGTGAGATTTGCAAGTGCCAACACCTGAGGAACAGCGAAGGCAAGCTCGCCCTGAGCTTGTATCAGAGGCAGTATGTAGTCAGAGGCTCAGCAATGCAGACTTTGTCAGTAAGGCCTCTCCCCCCTACCAGCACAAAGTACCTGCATCCCTGATGTGGGATGTGCACGCTTGTGTGGTGCGTTTTGTTTTGGGGTTGACCAGGGATCGGGAGCATCGGGCGGAGCATGGGCTTTGCCTGTTGAGGGGAGCAGTTGACATTTTGAAAGTCGGGGCACAAGGCGAAGAACACACAGTGTGGTGGGAGTTGACTCTAGGACGTGGCTCGGAAGATCCTCGCCTCGAACAAGCAGTTCGGCTACGCTGAGCACCGGACCCCAGCTCTAGTGCAGCTTGTGCTGTGGGATCTAAAGCGTTTGGGCTGTGTCACATGCAGCGACAGGTCTTACCCACCCCGGGAAGGGACGTCGGGCGTCCTTGCACTTGTTGAGGACCGCTTCATTCTCGTACAACAGTTTCACAGGGAAGTCTATGTAGCCGACCTTCTTTCAGCCTTCTTCAAAGCAGTCACGAGGGAGCTGCAGGTTAGTTTGCAGTGCAGGAGTGTAGTGGTGGGTTCGGTTCGATAAGAATTCTGCCTTCGCCCCTTGGCTCGGAAGGACTTTCGTTGGATTGGAGAGGACTCAGAGCACCATGTGCCAGGATATGGATCTGGCTCTCAGGCTCCGGTGGGTGCTCTGGTGCTCTTCCAGTTTCGCTGTCATGTCGCTCAGTTGCACCCCAGGTCCAGCTGCTGTCTGCCAGTGGAGGCCGATTTCGCATTCTCAAGATGAGCAGCAAGTCTCAGACGCATTGGAGCTTTGAGCATGTTTCAACAGCTCGACACATGCAAAGCGTCGTCAAAGCCGAGGCAAAGAAACCGTGGACGGCCTGGAGCTCTACCGTGCGCACGTGCAGCTCTTCGCGGAGCGCGACCTGACAAGGAGCGACGTCTCTGCTACGCCGCCTGCCGTCTCCGCCAAATCACGAATCTCTGTTTCGTCTCTTTCTTTTTCTTCCGACAGGGGCGCCGGTGCAGAGGCGCTCCACAGCAGGGTCAGGTTTCTTCGCATCTTATTTTCCTTGAGTGAGGCTATGGCCTACTGGAATGACAAGACGGCAGGCCGTTGCAGTGCCAGGGTGTAGCAGTTAACGGTTGATGGAGCATCAGCCATGCGAGGTCCAGAAGAGGGATCACGCGCCACTTCCGTCCTCACCTCAGCGACAAGGTGTGCATGCGCTCGACAGCTTCAGACGGCGAAGTCGTGAGAAGCTTTCTCTGCAGCCGCTTGCATGTGCCTTTGCTGTGTCGTTCTGTTTACTTGGTGGTTTGTTCCGACACGCACTGTCAGTCGGTACTAGCTAGTTACTAGCTGATGCAGATGCGGCAGCCTATGTTGTCCTTGTATGCCTTAGTCGCAGTGGTACAGTAGCAGAAGCAGCAGCAGCAGCAGCAGCAGCGGCAGCAGCAGCAGCAGCAGCGGCAGCAGCAGCAGCAGCACCAGCAGCAGCAGAAGAGCAGCAGGAGCAGGAGCAGGAGCAGGAGCAGGAGCAGGAGCAGGAGCAGGAGCAGGAGCAGGAGTAGTAGTAGTAGTAGTAGTAGTAGTAGTAGTAGTAGGGGCAGTAGGAGTAGTAGGAGTAGCAGGAGTGGTAGGAGTAGCAGGAGTGGTAGGAGTAGTAGGAGTAGTAGGAGTAGTAGGAGCAGTAGGAGTAGTAGGAGTAGTAGGAGTAGTAGGAGTAGTAGGAGTAGTAGGAGTAGTAGGAGTAGTAGGAGTAGTAGGAGTAGCAGCAGCAGCAGCAGCAGCAGCAGTAGCAGTAGTAGCAGT